AAATTGATTGGAAAAGTAATGTTGAACTGATCGGTATAATAGCAGGTGTGTCCATCTTACTTAATATACTCTTGTAGCACAGATATAGAGTGTACAAGTTACATTAGTATTAGTTACAATTAGCGTATGTTAAAAAAACTAAATTGCGATCATTTATTCTCGATATGTGAATTTAATATATGAAAATAATAATGTGTATATATGTACATATACACGATGTTTGAAATATTCAGCATATTTTTAAGTATTATAACAACAACAGCTGCTGTGTAATGTACAAAACTATATTTACATATTGTAATTTATTTATATAGATAGGGTTTTTGGTAGTTGCAGCCAAACGGTATGACACGCGTAGGCTGACAAAAAAAGAAAAATGCGGCCAAAACGTACTCTTTTCTTGGCAATCGTGTTATATAAAGGAAAATGGCTAATCTAATTCCACTGCTATTGCTTTAATTACTGCAGAAATTCCCTAATCGATCTTACAGGTGTACGTGACAACTTTCGAAAAAGTGAAGAAGTCCTTAGGGCGGACATAATGAGGCCCTTGCGATGAAATAACTTAAAATTTTGATTACTTTGAAAACATTTTTATCAAAGAACAAAGAAAAAAATTGTCACCGTCACTCATCTACTCGATTTTGTAGATGGGTAAAGATGAATATTTACAACAAACATTACACAAGCGCATAGACAGACGGTTTCAAAAGTTTGATGCTGACCACTTGTATATAAACCTTCCTAGTCCTCTGAAGTTTCCTTTCGAACATTGTAAACATTAAATAATTTCGATTATTTTCAAAGCATTTTTATCAAAGAACAAGGTGAAAAGCTGTATGTTCACTTTCACCCATCTACTTGAATTTGCAGTGGATATTAGCGGTATGGGTCGGAGCATATCACATTTTTTCCATAGCTATGACTAATTGTTCAAAATTTCAACTTTACTTTATTTGGGGAGAGCAAGTAATTATTATATTGGAATTGCAATAGGAAAGGGATTTCATTTTCCCGTTCAATTAGAAATTAAGTTAGTGAACTATCACATCTTATTACACTTGAAATGTTAACCGCGATAGTACAATTGGCTTCTGCTATTAACGTCCATTAGACTTAAACAAGTGAAAACATTATAGTGGGGTCATCAGCTACCATTAACGAGTTAACTATGTCAATCGCTTTCGTCACAGCACAAAATATTGTGCTTCTTATATCACATATATATTCGCCATACACAATTATCTTGGAGATAGTCGAATGACATGAAGTGGTCCGATCTGAAACATTTTTAATAGCGTTTGTCGTTGGGCCGTAACATGTCGGTGCTGCAAATTTTTTTAAAACATCGCAAAAAATACGTCCTGTAGGTTGAAGACAAGCAAACAAGAAGTACAGACATGCTTAGATCGATTCTAAAAGTGAATCAGAAAATGCTTCTGTACACGTCCACACAAACATCCTAAAGAGTTGAAATGTAATGAGACTATATCCTTTTTTTTTTAATATCCGCGCTATGATATCGATGGGTACATTTTCTTGACTGTTGTGAACAGCTGATATAAATTTCGAGACCTTGTTGAGTTACTAATACCCTACGTTCAGCGATTTTTAAAATTGAAAATTGAAAATTTGAGAAAGAATTTGCTTAAAATTTTGTCAAAGAGATGAAATAAAAAAGATCACAAGTCTTTGAATTTTATAAATCACTTAACGAGGGGAAGAGGGCAAGGGATGAACCGCGTTTAGGAAGATCATCAGATTCAACTTGTCCAACATTTATTTTTTCTATTGTGAATTAATCTTTGGTTTTAGTAAATCAAAAATGAAGAGAATTTTCAATGTTTCGCTAACTAATGGCGGATCTAGAGGATATTGATCTAACGGTAGCACAAGTGGTGATAAGATCAATTTCCGAGTCTGTGTATATCATCGAAGAAAAGTCTTTTGCCGATATTTGCTATCGATGGTTATAAGGAAAACATGTATTTCATACGATTCCGATGCATACTTTCGGGCATTGCAAACAAATCTAGTCCAGTCTCTATGGTGGGCATCAAACAAAAATATATTAATAAATGAAATATTGTTTCACAAGAATAATTAGTTCCTTTAATGGGCGACGATATGTTTGCTTTTCTCTCAATAAACATTACAAGCTTTTAGAACTCTGTATTCCGATTTCATTTTCATTTACCGAAAATTTAAATTAAAAAAAAAGATTAACAATTTTTTTTTTTAGTAAATTAGCCAAAAATGCTTTAGTGCCAAAAATATGTAATCGAACCAAATGTTAAGATTATACCCCATTTTTTTTTTCTTTTTTTTCAAATAAATAATATAAAGAAATAAATAAAATAAGTGTAAGAATAATAAAAAAGTTGGATACAGGAAATGCTGTAAGGAAATTATTTACCCCATTTTAATTGTTGCTTAAATTGAATTTTGTTTTTTTTTTTTTTTTTTTTGTTATCTTGTATCAATTAATTGCATTGCATTCGAAATTGGTTCAATAATTTATTTTCTTACTTCTTTTATTACAAATGAAATGAATCAATCGATTCCAAACCTAACTAATTGAATCGTTTTGGAAGAATTTGTTAAAGATTTAATGAATAAATAAAATAATATTTGACGTAAATTTTTATTAGTGCTCTGCACTAATGAAATGTCAAATGTCTTTCACTTTCCTCTTATACGGCCAAGCTTAGTTATAGGGTGTTTCGAAACATTTGAGGAGTTTCGCTAACTTTTTTTCCGAAAAAGCAAAGGCTCGCGAAAATATCCTTTGAAATTGTTGAATATTTTCCCAAATTAAGTTGTCGACTTTCTGGTCCACTGCTCCTTTAGCTTCCTTAGTCCCTTAATACTTTCTGGCAACTACCGTCTATATAATCGACGCTTCGCTTAAGCCAATTAACTTTTTCGAGAGATTTTGTAAATAAAATTTTTCTTTTATCTTTGCTACCTGTTTTTGCAAAGACATCATTTTCCACTGAGATTCAGTTATAATATGCATTACTGCGTCCAAAAAGTAAGGTCAATTAATTTTTTGTGTTTTAAATGTATTTATGTTTCTAAATCTATTTCGTCGCCTTCAAAGTAACCCTCACAATAAAACCCATACAATATTCCTTATTATTAGTTTGGCCCGGCGGAAGGATTTCGTAATGCACAACATCACGATAATCGAAGAACACTGCATAACGTTGTCTTGATATTTCTGGTCCTTTGCAAAGATCTTTGTCTCATCTGCCAGCATAATGCTTTTCATGACGTTCATTGAAAAAGTAGTAACGGTTCGCATCGCACAAAATCAAGCACAGCTGAAACACTAATGCCGTTTATAATGCGAAAGTTGACGGAGACGTCTGGCGCGGTCCTATCGTCATCGAAAAAAATATTTCTGATATTCAATAAACCCACGCAACTTAACTTGAATACTGATCCTACTTTGTGATCACGGTATTATGTAATACATTAGGAGAATTTTTGGCTTATTTGTAAAATCAGCTGCAAATAAATTTTAAATAATTCATTTTAGAAAATTTCAATTTTATCATTGGCGTTAATTAATGAAGAGAGGCGGTATATTTCCTGTATATTGCTTGAATTATTAGAGCACTCAGGTAATAATCGTACTTTTACAGCCGTAATAATGGAGTAGGAGTGAATTCTTCTCTATTCAGAAGGATATTTTTAATTATCATTGACATTCATCATATGTTTCTTTGAACTCAATTAAAATAAATCGCCATCGATGATGAACTTGCTTAATACGCATCTTAAAGTAAAAAAATATTCATTTTCATTGTGTTTTATTTTCATTTATGAAAATTTAAATACAATTAACGTCACTGAAACTACTTATGCATTAGTTGTCCAGGACCCAACTGTAGAAATTATAAAATAATAAAATAATAATGATAAAAAAAAAAATAATAATAATAATAAACTAAAAGTAAACGCGAAAAAAACAATGTTCTTAAGTATTTATATAAATTAATTAATTAAAATAATAGTTTTGATTTTTTTAGTTTTATTATTATTATCATTATTTTGCTTTTTTTCTAAAATTTTTTGCTTTTTCAAAAATAGAGAACTTATAGGTTACAAATTAAATTTCAATATATTGGAGGAAAAAGCAAATGTAATAAAAAATAAATGTTTGCACAACTGTTCTAAGCTTTAGAAATAACAAAAAAAAAAAAAAAAAAAAAAAATAAAATAAAATAAAATATGTGTTATATTTTTAAAAAAATTATATTTAACTTAATTTAAGAATTAAATTAAGAAACTTAAAGAAGATTTTTCTTAAAGAAAACATTGCATTTAAAAGAATATTTATTTTATTTGTTTTTGCTCTTTAATAATAAATGCTTTTGCTAAAGTATATTAAATGGAAGTAGTGAAGGAATAAAACTAAAATCCACACTGAGAAGGAGAGCGAAAACGATGCGATCGGAACTGAAATGAAGCATGTCCTAGGATATGAATGGTATGGCACTCTGAAGAGCTTTTTAAAAAGCGTGGATTTGTTGTCTTCAAAACCATAAATTAAAAATAAAAAAATATGAAAATAAGAAGTGGAAAAATATATTAATACGGGGAAGACTACAGCGATGAATATTCATTTCTTTCTTTTTCTTTACAGTTCCCATTAAAATTTAAAAAAAAAAAAAATCACATTGAGTCATTTTTTCATGTACGAAATAAAAACTGAAACTGAAGTAATTGTGACATTATTCTTAAAAATAACTCTATTCAAATTTAAAAATTATTATTAACAACTTAAAATATAATTAAAACTTTAATTTTAAATCTTACAAAAAAAATAAAAATGAGCTGCACTTTGTTTCAATGTTGAAAACGCAGACAAAAAAAAAAAAAAAATTCACGGCGCGAAACAAAATTATTGAGTTTTTTTCGTATATTGGGTTTTCAGAGAGTTTAGAGTCCTTTTCTAAAAGACTAGTTGCTTTTGTGTTTTTTTTTTTTTAGTTAGGGATAAGTATTTTTGCTTTTTTTTTTTTTTTTTTTTTTATATATATATAAGTGGGTTGAAAGGTTTTCCGGACGATCTTAGATCGCTTTATCTCGAATTTTAACCGAAATTATGTTGAGGTTACTATGAGAATTTAAAATCGTTTTGTTTGACATAAAATTCTAAAAATATTTCTTTTAAGTTTAACTTGTTCTTTAAAAAAATTGCTTATATTGTGTTGTTAGGTTTTCTTTCTCAGTGTAAATCTAAAGCAATACTTTATGGACTCTTAAGAAGTATGAAAATATGAATGGTTTTCTTATTTTTTTTCTTTTTTTTACATATCTTGACGATGCATAAGGAAGGATGAAAAAATAAATGAATTTAAATGAAAGTTTTCTTTTTTAAGGGATGGGATGGGTGGTGAGCTTAGACTTTTTCATATTATCATAGAGATCCGAATATTGAGTGTATGTGTGGATGTATGGGTATTGCATGCGAGAGAGTAGGCGGACCCGTCGAAGGGTGAGGCGGTGGTGGTTGCGCATGACTATGGTTGTGGGCATTACTAGCAGCCGCATGGGCTGCATGAGCCGGATGATGAGCAGCTGCAGCGGCTGCTGCTGCTGCGGCGGCAGCTGCGGGCGGCAAAGAGGCCACTGGCGGTCGAGTTATCGATAAAGTTACCGTTTGTGGAGCCTGAGCTGCGGATAGAGACGGCGGTGCTGTACCATGGTGTGATTGCTGTTGTTGCTGGCCTGGTGCTTGTTGCCCGCCATGTGCTTGGGTAGTGTTAGCTCCTGTCGCTGTAGCTGGCACCACCGCTGATGAAGCGGTATTTGTGGGGGGATGTCACTGAGCTACCACTGACGTGGCGGCATTTTGTTGTACTACCACCCCCGGAGCTACGGAATTGGCCACACTCACCGTTACCGATGGCTGGCTACCACCCCCGCCATGAGCTGCGGTTGGCTGCCCCTGAAATGCATGCTGAAAGGGCGGTCCATAGCATTGTGGAAAGTAGAGTTCATTCTTAACTTGTGAACCCGGTTGTGCACCACCGCCCATTGACCGCGGTAAAATATTAGATTTGTTGTCGCCAGGTTGTGCGGCCGGGTTATTGTTATTTAGAAATTGCTGAGCTACCGCAGCATTTTTACTTTCATTCATCAAATGATTAGCCGCTGCTGCAGCAGCTGCCGAAGCGGCTACCGCTGCCGCCGTTACATGATTGTTATTTACATTATTATTGTTACTCGAGTTGGCATTGCGTCGCCCTTTGGTCGTATTCGGATTCATGTGGTTGTCGATATGTTTGGTAACCTCATTTTCAGTGGCAAAACGTCTTCGACAATTCGGCATCGGACAGCAGAACGGTCGATCACCCTACGTAAGGAAAATTTAAGACGGGTAAATAATTATTTGTAGTTCAAAAAAAAACAAAAAAGACTTTATCCGTTGCCATTCTGAATGCTAGCATAAGATGTGAGATAAATATAGAGAGTGGCAAAATTTATAGCTTCTCTATAAATTGGGAAAATAACATGAATTGACATAAAGTCATGACTTTTTTCAATGCACAAGATTTACTTGCAATTGAAAATTATTTTATTTCGTAATCATTAATTGCTCTTTCAAATACTACTACCTGGTGCGTTCTGGTATGCTGATCCAGTATTGCTTTTTGACGGAAGTCTTTACCACACTGACCACATTTGTAAGGTTTTTCGCCTGTATGTATGCGGATGTGCTGGAAAATCGTAACGATTTATTAAAATTTTTAAAATCCCGAGTAAATTCGTTGGTTTACCTGATTCAAGATTGTTCGTTGACGGAAGAAACGCGGACAATATAGGCAACCAAATGGTTTCTCATTTGTATGTATACGCAAATGTTGTGTTAGGTGCGACTGTTGACGGAAACGCTTGCCACATTCTGGGCACGGATAAGGACGCGATTCAATGTGTATGCAACCGTGTTGCAATAGTGTCGTCTTCTGTTTAAATTCCTTATCACAAATAGGACAACGCACATATAATGGCATATTTGCCGGACGGACGCCAATATGTTGTAAAACGTCAGGTAAGATTTTTTGACCTATTTGTAACGAAGGAGATAAACGCATTAAAAAATTATAAATGAGAAATACATTAATGTAATCGCTTAACCTTTGCCGTCTTTAAAATATGAGGGGTAATGTATACCGCCGCTACCATCTGGAGTACCCTGGGAGTCATCGTCGTGATAGCCACCTTCACCGGCAATACCATTTTTCGTATCAGTCTCATCTCCCGGAAAGGGTACATCCTGCGGCCACAGAGTTGGATGTGGTCCGTTTTTAAATATAAGATGCGGTGATACATCTATAAAGGTAAGGGAGAAAGAGAGGATAGGGCTTTTTAAGAAATTTCCGTAGACGCAATTAGAAGGAAAGAGAGGCAAATAACTAAGCTAATCTACTTTACAAAAGAATGGAAGAGAGTGAGAGAGCAGACTTCAGTGCTTCAGCACTTGTTGTAAATGGTTATAATTGAATTTTGAAATTTTGTGCCAGATCTTTGTTTTTAAAAACAAAAAAGGATTTTCCAAAATGAGAATCGATCTAGATTTTCATTTTGGAAGATCAGCCATATCCTTCTATCAAAGTGCTTTTGAGATAACGTTTGAAATTTTGTTACTCCAACACAAAAACTGTAACTCTCTGTTGTTGGGGGATTTTCTTTTTTATCTGATCTGATATATCTTTCTGAATTTTTTGTTCTTTTTCTCTTTTTTTTTTTGTTTGTTTTTATGTAATTGGTTCAAGAACTGTCGCTCGCCTTGGTGGGTTCGCACATGTTGATTGAGGATGGCCTTCTGGCGAAAGTGCTTGCCGCACTCGGGACACGCGAAGGGCTTCTCACCCGAATGGATGCGTATGTGTTGATTGAGTATCGCTCGCTGACGAAAGCTACGCGAACAATAACCGCAAGTAAACGGCTTCTCATTGGCATGAATGCGCAGATGCTGCGTCAGATGCGATTGTTGACGAAAACGTTTACCGCACTCCGAACAAGGGTAGGGCCGAGCGTCCGTGTGTATACGATCGTGCTGCAGCAGAGTAGATTTCTGTTTAAAGTCTTTGCCACAGGTGAGGCATTTGAATAGCCTCAGATCACTGTGAGGTTTAGGAGGTTTATGATTGGCAGGCGAGGTATTAGGGTGTCGGCCCGAGGAACCGCTCGTGGTGCTATTAGTGTGTGAAGTGCCATTCTGTTGATTCGAACTGTTATTAGCGGAACTATTTTGCTGCTGACCGGGCAACAATTCAGGCAGAGCATAAGCTTCCAGACCATTTGCGCCGGCATTTCCGGAATTTTGATCCATCGAACCGGCCATACCGGGAAGTACAGGTTTGTTAAGATAGTGCAAAGGTGGAAAACCGGGTGGAGCCATTAAAGCACCTTGTGGAGCGACCGGATGGCGAGGAGCATAATAGCCACTAAGTTCACCATTCTGAGCTCCCGCAAAACTATTGGAGGGATCATTGCCTTGCTGTTGGCCACTTTGTGGTACATGTTGTTGTTGAGGATTCCCCGTCGCGCTGGTATCGCCACTGCCACCATTCTGTTGCTGATGTTGGGGATCATTTGAGCTTTGGTTTGGATTTTGTTGCTGTGAAGAATTCTGCTGGTGGACCTAAGGAAGCAAAACCAACCAAATGAGAACTATGAGTATTAGAATAAGATAAACTAGTTAAATTATCAATTGTTTTACAAAATCACTAAAACAAGAACCTTTCATGTCCACACTAAAAGAAAAACAAAAACGAAACACCGAAATTACATTCGATTGTGATGGAATCTTCAATACCCACCAAAGAAAAAATAACAAATTTCAATACTCCATAATATTGGATGGACATAGAGATTTTTCGATTTTTATGCTGGTGCTGTCAGGTCTTTAATTGTTGCCGTTATCCCTGGTGCAAATTATGAATAATGAACAAACAGAATCGTTCACAGTTTATGACGGCCCATTTGCTTGGTAATTTTCAAGACGATATCTTCATTTTTGCAACTGGAAATAACTTTGACATGGACGGACCGACATGCTCACTGAACCAGAATATAAGCACTTTATTGAGTCTCCAAATCTTCTTCTTCTTGGTATTTTAAAAGATATGAGAAAATGAATAATTGTTCTTTTGGTGATCATAAGTTATTTCTACATTTCCATTACAATCGGAGGCGGAATCGAACGTTACATAGCTCTTCTACTGATGAAAAGAGATGAACGGTTAATAAAAGCGATATGGATAATGATAACTATTGAAAAATGACAACTTTGAAAAGAAGCATGGTACAAAGGAATCGCAACCATCTAATAAAGGAGTGAATGTCGTATCCAATCATAAGGAATAATGGGAAGTTTTTTAATACCATTTCAAAGGAAAAGTGACTGATTTTTAATGAAATGTTGATTTGCTTACAAAATAATATACTTACCTGACTCATGTTTACATCGTCGTCGGGGCCACCGTTATTATTGGCACGTTGTTGTTGAGGCGGGTAAGGACTTGTTGAAGGTGAGCCTTGCTGTCGTACTCCTCCACCACCACCTCCTCCACCCGCGTCCGCTCCATTTTCCCGAACATTAGGATCTCCGTTTGGACTTTGTGGTTGCGGTCCACCACCAGCCGGACCGGCCCCAGAATTAAGCTGTGGCGCCCCATTTTGAGCTGATTGCTGTTGTGCGCTCAAATGGCTCTGAGCCTGTTGCTGTATGCCTGGATACATTTCCGAGCCCCATTGCGTTGCGGAGCCACCTATGGCAGCTGCATTTCTTTCTGCCTCTTGCGAATCTTTATACAAAACGTACGGTTGACCCGTGTCCTGCGTAATGCAATACATTATTTGACGTGGCACCTTAAGACCAGCAGCTATACATGCCGCAAATGAGGCAGAAAAATTTATTGCCATTGTTGCGGAAGCGTGAGTCTTTAATAAGGAGCTTGTGTCTTCGGTTAGTTAAATTTAAAACACTCGCTGCTCGAGCCGTAACTCCTTAAACGTATATATTAACTATCTTTTCGTCACGCTTATGCTCTCTATAAACTAGAGAGTTTTTATTGTCTGGTGATATTACTCATATTTTGAGCGGGTAGTTGATGTTTGATATCTTTATATATACATATACATATACATATGCATATACATACATACATACATATACATATATATATATATATATATATATATATATATATATATATATATATGTATATAAAAAGGCTTGCTATCGTATATGCTTTCTTTTGTATGTTCTGAGGGGCAGAGGGGGTTCTCTTTGAATTAGAATCTCCTTTATTTTTTATATTCTTATTTTATTTATTTATGTTAATGTAAGTTTTTATTTTGTTGCAAGATAAAATTTTTGTGTTTATCTTTTCTTTTTTTTTTTAAATATATTAAAGTGATCCTTTCCTCTGAGTTTTTTTGTTTATTTTAGCTTTTTTTATTTTTTTTTATTTTTGCTTAATATGATTAAAATTTTTCTTCTTTTTTTTATACCAGTATATAAATTATACTTTGTTTTAACAAACTCTTTTTAGATGCTGCTTGATATTGTTGTCTAGAATTTGGATGATAACTGAAAAATAAAAAAAAAATTTTTATAAATTTTTAATTTTTTGAAACTAAATGCAAATATTTGCATATAATCGATATGCAACACCCATTGAAAATACATTTCAAGTTCAAAGTAGAAATAAATTTTGAAAAATTATTCTCTTTAATATGCAAACTGTATAACGCTTTGATGGAAGTGATATTAAAAGTCTTCATTCATTCATTCCTATACATTTTCTTAGGAAATTATAAATAAAAAAGTCCAAAACTCTTATTCTCGTTTACTAAAGCAAGGCTACAACGTACTTTATATTATATGGAATCGAATTAAGCAAAAACAGAAAAAATAGTACCTTATTATAAGGTACAGTTGGGAGAAGGGGAACCACCCTGAGAGAAGGGTTAATATGTTGTATGTATCTATTTTATACCAATTTGACAAGATACACACACGAAAAGCTTCGATATGTATACGTACGCGTCAGTAAGAAATCTCACAGTCAAGATCACCATTTACGGCAGCCGAAGTATTCAGCAAGGAGTGCCCATATTGCGCCTTTACCAAAGGCAACATAAACAGCGATCAGAGACAAAAATCTGGCTACATGTCTGCCCGCTTCTAGTACCACTCTCTCTGTTTAAGCTCTTTTAACTTCTCTTCCCCTTGTTGAACTGGTCTTTTTAAGATATTGTTGAATGTTCTGCTTTTTGTTTCATTTGATTTCGTTTTTTCTTGTCTATTTTTTCTTTCTTTAATAAATTTGCAGTCACCATGACGGCGTTTTGTTAACATACATATTCAATTCTTTAATGCGGGATCAAGGTCTTTCTTTGTTGTTGTCATCGTGTCTGTGTTTATTAGTTTGTAGAGATGTTAGTTTTTTTGCGAGTACGTGCGTAAGTGAATTGTTTTTTTTCTTCTGCTATTTCGCTTATGTCCATACATAAATATTCTCGATCACTTCGAATTATTCAAAAAATGTCTTGAAGAGAATTTTTTTTTAAAAATATTGATTTAATTTTTTTTTATTTATTTATTTATTTATTTATTTACGGTTTTTTTTTTTTTGCAATATTTTAAAGATACCAACAACAGAAAAGAATATACAAAAATTAGGTGATCTCATCAATTTGAAAGTGAAGCATAAATAATACCGGCATTCAAAATTTATAAGCGCCAACAATGAAATTCTTTCCAAACCAAGACCAGAGGATACCAAAGATTAGTGCAAAATTGAACGGCGACTAATCCATAGCTGTCCGCTTGTTCATGTTTGGAATACTCATATTCGCAAAAATGAGATTAAATAGCTTAGATTTGCCATGCGTAGCTAGAGTTTCAGCTGGGTCGCGAACCACCAATGCATTTTTAAATTGGGCATAATCCATCCACATACGCGGTACACATTTACTCTACTTTGCAGTAGAGATTATGCTTTCTATTCAGAAAGGGATCGATAATCCGGTGAATGTCGCTAAACGCCAAAGTGGTAAACCGAAATATATAACATACCCAGAGACATATCAAAGTAATTGAGAAATCAAAGTTATGTTAATTGTCTTGTTCTTGTGGTGTTCTTGTTCACAAGGTGTTCCCCTGCCATATGATCAAGCATTTAACAAAGAAATGGCCTCGATATCGTTGGCATGAATCTATTTGTAAAAACTTCCAAATTTGCAACGAAATTATTCACTCGTTTAAGCATTTCACGATACTTATAGCAATAAAACCGCATTTATTTGATATTGATTCTATGGGACGTTTCTTTCCCACGATTACATTATAAGGGTCAATTGATGTCGTAAAAATGCCGTCAATCTAATTCATCAATAAATATTAATATTGATATTCGCGAAGCGTGTGCATTATTAAAATAAAAACTTCCTTAATTTTTTAACTACAAATTTACATCTTATAGTATTTAACAGATATCTGAATTTAGTAGGAGAGAGATAATTATCAGGGTAGAGTGATATCTGTAGCTTTCAAATCTACCACAAAGCCAAGTAGTTGAAAAGCGCGGCGATTTTACATACCTGATTTCAATTCTCAGGTTGATGCAAGATCGTAGGTAGGGGGGGGTGCTCGACCGATAAAGGCACATGTAACACTTACTGATCATGGGCGCAACAAAGTGCACGATTCCCTATCTCCCTTTATGTGATACACGTATACAGAGAGCATCCCCCAAAATGATTAGTCATATGAACATATACAAAAAGAGAAAAGGCGTGTGTTCAAAATTCTTTTAACTGTATTTGACCAGTGAATTAAGTCAAATCATCGCCTTCGACTGACCTATAATAAATTCAAAGGTCAGACGAAAGACCAAAATTGATCAAACAATTGCACTTCGGTTTTTTTTATTTGCAATTTAATTAATCTTTGCTTAATATTTTCGCGCAGACTCAGTACAAAAGTTGCTTGCATTATGTGGCAGATTTAGTGGTGTGTGGATCGGATAAAAAGATTACTGTCACAAATAAAATAAATTAGTTTTAAATGCATTGAACTTTAAATTTCTAACGGCTCAATATTTCTAATTTATATAATGCCACCAACGCTTCTGCTTATCTTATTTTATGATTTCTAACGCGACTATATATTTATATCAACTTGGATGTATGAAGCTAAAGTTGCCTTAAAAATATAAATAATTGATTGAAATGAGATTTTTGACCGACTTCGTCATAAGTAGCGCTTCTCGAAGGGCAAGAAAACTTTTTCAATTCTTTGCATAACATACAAATTTTTTCTTACAGTAACAATAGCTAAACCGTTACATGTTCCCATTTTATGCTGAACTGTATTTCGTATAGAGATTACATTAACATTTATTAGAATTTTTCCTGAGCTAAGTTGAATTTGAAAACAAATTATTGTTATTATAATCGGATCATTAGACGAATAGAAGTTGGCGTCTACTTAAAGATTTCAATTGACATGATGGGTTAACACTCGCTTTGGTATTGGGCTTCATAATGGTAAGATTAGGTAGAAATTCCGGGATTCCGGCTAAAGAGAAGATCTTCACTCAAGTCTTAAATACGCGTTTAGCAGCATGTGTACCATTTTTCTAAAACTTCTAAGTTCTCCAAAAATTCTTATCGGAACGTAGCCTTGTCGTAGCCACTCCCCCGGCATGACATCACCGGACTCTTTTTTAACGTATAAGGTTTAGAAGAGAACTTAAAGAGCAAAATCTCTCAATAATCAGTAGGATTAAGACGAAATCCTACATTAAGCTGGCAAGACGATATTACAAGTGTTTTCAACTGTAAACTCCGTCGAAGAATGGTTGCATTAAGTAAATGAATTAAGTAATATCTTAAGAGATGATCGAAAATTCTTGGTAGTTTTTGATCAAAAAATTCACAAAGTAGCAGTGAAATTTATATATATGTATATGTATATATATGTATATATATGTATGTGTATGGAAAAAATTTGGTTACGTTGTAGCTTCTCTTTATCACTGTAGCAAAGTTAAGAGCTACGAGGTAATAGAAGTGAGCTAGCGATCAAAAACGAGTACAATTTCTTTTCTTACCTTTCCAGCTTATAACACAATTCAAGGCTTAAATAGATTGTTCATTTTTAATTTTTTATATAAAGAAAAAATCTTGTTGATTTAACTCTGGCTTTTCACTTCAATTACAAAATTAGACTTAGATTTGGTTTTTCTTCATACGGAAGGCACACCTGAATTTTATTTAATACGAGAGCTTATTTTTTCAATTTATTTTTTTTTTTAAATTCATGAAATAAAACATGAATTGAAATTAATGAGTATAGGTTTGGATTTTTTCGAAACCGATGGAATTAAATATGAGAAAAAAAAATGCAAAAAATATTGAAAAAAAATTAAAAATAAATTATAAAATGATTTCTTAAGTTTTTTTTAGTTAATTATAAATTAATGTTTTCTACTTATATGCATGGGTTTGTTAATGCGTTAAACTCCGCCTACTTATAACTAACGTTTGAGCAAAATACTATATTCATATATATCTATATTTTTACACATATGTATATATGTATGTACATATATACATATATACATATATATTTCAAATACATTTATTGTATCTCAAATGCATGCATTGCTTGCGAAAAAAAACGCATACATACACACATACACACGCAAACATATTCACACACATTGTTGCATTAACAAACTGTGCAATAACAATAACAGCAACAAATTGTAGCAAGACGGGCTAGAGCAGTCAAGCTATCCAACCCCAAACCATCAAACCAACTAAGCAACCAACCAACTAACTAACAAAAACTCTAATGCACCAAACATTGATGTAGTTTGTCCATAATGCAAGATTAAATGAGAAAAAAGAAATTATTTACATTTATTTATATATATATATATCTAAGCATATATATAAATATACTTAAAAATGAAAATAAAAAAAAGTAATAAAAAATCCGTTGACGAAAAAACCATCATATCTCAAGACAATTTTTTATTGTTTCAGCTAGCTTAAGCCTTTCATCTATTTTTCTTTACTTATTTCAAATTCTTCTATTCTGAAGCTTTAAAAAGAAAAAAAATTATTTATAAAAACCAAAATAAAATGAAAATTGGATTTTGTTTTTATTAAGTACTTCCTGCCCTACTTCTTACTCTATATTCTTCAGCAAGCTTTTTGAGATTAAACGGAATGGGCAACGATTCTGGTGCCGGTAGCGGGAAGGCTTTCTAAAAATATTATAGTCTATCGAATATATATCGTCAATAATATTCGCATGTTCTTCGCCATAGCTAGCGTTTTAGCATTGGATACGCTCCTAACGTTACTTAATTTAGCGCTTGGGAGAAGTGAATTATGGTTAGCACAACATAAATGAACCGAGGATTAGCAATAACGTTGTGCTTAGTTTAAGCATAATTCGCGTCACAAAAACTCCAAAAATTTGAATTGATATTCGCCTTTCTCTCCTTACCATGCTAAGTTCGACAAAAATATTTGAAAATATTTTCCGTCATTGAATACGCCGGTCGGAGT